ACACAAATCCTTCTTATTTATATATTCCAAAAGATTATGTGATAAAAAGTAGTCGTTATTAATACACATCAACATTGTTAGAATATGTTAGAAAGATTCAAACATTAGGAATTAATACACAATGATTATCAGTTTTTCTTTCAACAAACTTTTAATTCTATGATTCTTGGATTTGTATTTCCTAAATATTTGTAAACTTTGTTTTACATTGCAAATATCAGATGATATAAATCATCGTGATCTTTTCAGATTTTTCTAGAACATCAAGCCAATATCTCCTTTTCACAAAAAAAATCCAAACCCATTCTATTCAATCTACGGATCGAAACAAAGAACTTTACAAGAAAAAAAAAGAGAGAAAAATGAAGACCACATATGTCATGTGTATGTATGTTCATTGTTTTCTTTTTCTCGTAGGTTCTTTTTTGTTTTGTTTTGTTTTTTTTTACAGTTAATATAACACACATACGGATAATAAATAGAAACAAGACACACACATGCGAACACATAGAAAATACTGTCAATCAGATTTTATTCATACAAAACCGAACATTTTGGTTTTTATCGCATATTTAAGTTTTAATTTTAAGATAGTTTTTGAAGAATATAATGGAACATATAAACGACTTATATATGTATTTGCTGTTGATAAATGTTGATCATCAGCTGGACGAATTATAACTAATAGTTGTGGTAGAAAACCACCTTCTGATGCGGATAAAGTTGGACAACTCGTCCAAAAATAAACCTTTAAAAAACACAAAATTTTATCTTGAAGATAAAACAATTATATATTTTTTACTCTTACTAAGTCTTGTCTTTTGACAGCATTGAATTTTTCTAATACAGACCAAAACCATTTTTTAAATTGATTAATTCGTACAGTAGTTTCACCTAAACGAAAAGAAAATTTATTTCGAATTTTCTCTTTTTCTGTTTTGTTTTAACTTCCCACTTTCATCATTAATTGTTGTATATGTCACTAATGTTGTTACATTTATATTACCGATACCATTTAAAAGAAGACGAAAATCTTCAGGACTTAAATAATCAAGTGATGTGGATGGTAATACATTAAAAACGCCCAAACGTAAATGCTAAACAAAAATAAAATAAAATAAAAAACTCGTTCTTTTTTTGATTATTTTGATTTATTTACTTGAAGAGATTGTTCAACAAGATTAATCATTCGAAATTCAGCATAACGCTTTATAAATTCATATAGATTAGCTATGTTACATCTTTTGATGAACCATCAGGGACAAGATCATATGTTTTACCTACTAAAAACAACAAAATATTAATTTATTTATTCAATTAAAATAGAAAATATAAACCTCTTTTTCAGTAACAGTCATTGAAAATGTTAAATGAAGACCATTTATATATTGTGATCCATTTTTTTTTTGCATCATATGCAGTTCAACGTAAGTTTTCATAGATAGTTGAATCAAAAAAAGCTAAATCATGGCAACGTATTTGTCGATTTAAAATATATTTTATCACATGACAACATAATAGTAATGGAAAAGTTCATTTTGTAATAAACATAAACCAATTAATCTAAAAAGAGAAGAGTTTAGTTTTTAATCAAAGTTTATTTTTTATTTCTTACCTTCCAACATTTCGATAAGCAGTTAAACGGTCAGATGTATATTTTTCTGGTTGTGGTGCATAAACACCTTTTTTATCTGGCTACCAAAACAATGGTGCATATTCATTTGCTTGTTTATCAAATAATGAATTTTTATTTGTTAATAAACGTTCATTTGTTGTTGTTAATGAATCATTTTGTTGTCCATCACGTGTACTATGTGATGTTAATATATTCATAGCTTCTTCAACTTTAATTCTTAAATCTTCATCTATATTAATAATACGTTGTAATTGTGGTGTTGGTAAACCTTCAAGTAACATTCCAGTAATTTTTTCAGCATGAAATGGTTGAATAGCTGCTACTTTTGGATAAATACTAACACCTAATTTTATTTTACTTGGTGTCCAATGTTCATTTATATTTGTTTCAGAATTATTATTATTATTATTATTATTATTTGTTGTTGTTGTTGATGTATCAGTTGATGATAATGTAAATTTAAATGGACGTGCTTCTGATGAAAGAAGCATTGATGATGAACGCCGATCACTACGTAAATATGTTGCTAATGTTGTACGACGTTCACGTGATGGACGTTGTTGTCGTTGAGCATGTGATGATAAAGAATTTGATGTTGATTGAGCAGCTGATGAAGCACCATATGTACCCAATTCAAGTACAGGTAATTTTTCTTCAGATAAGATTGCCTATTATGATATAGAGATTATTTATTGTAAGAAAAAAATTTTAGTATCAATATGAATAGAGTTAAAAGATTCTCAAGATATATATATCTATTAACTATATATTGCGATTTCTATTACAAATTTTTAATTAGAATGATATTTATTTATTCTGTAAACTTCGTGCTAGAAATCGAATTTTTCAGAAACAAACCATGGACACGAATAGGGTTATTAATATTTTTAGGACTGCGAAAGACTAAAAATTCGGCAGAAAGAACGAAACTCATTGTGACCCGACCTCTCTTTTCCTCGAGGCCTGCTCATCTCGTATTACTTTCTGCCAGAGAAAGATAAATGTTGTTTCAAAATCCGTTTTCTGTCCAAATTTACCATCTGGCCAGAACTCTTTTTATGGATGCCAGAATACGCTGAAGACTACAAGATGCATTAAGATTTCGGCTCAAAAGCGAACGAACAGGCGGAAATGTTTCTTACACTACTGATCAAAAATATAAGACTAACGTATTTTTTATTTTACGATTTCAAGCATTTAACTTAAATTTCAACAGTAGTTATGAAATAGCCAATGAAGTTCTCTATCAAATGCATTTCATATTGAAGTTTTACAGATGGACTGTGAGAAGAAGTTTTTCTAGAAATCTGTAGTCCATCTGAGAGGCTATTCAAACTATTGTTTAAATTTGAGTTCAATCTTTGACATCACATAAAACAAAAAAACATGAAAAATACGTTGGTCTTACATCATTATTTTAATTAATATCCATAGAATAACTTATTAAAATTTAACTTACTTCAACAATTGACGAATAAAAACTTCTTGCAACACCACTTCCTTCTCCTGGTTCATCTTTAAATGTAATTTTAACTCTTTGTACAGCTAATGGTGGTACAGATGATGATGAATTCATATTTTGATTACGATAATAATATGAATTAAGTATTCGAAATGTTTTTTGTATTAATAATATACGATCACGTTCCATCTAAAAGAAGAAATTTTCCAAAAAAAAAAAAACAACAAAACTTTAATTAAATATATTTGTTTTTTTTTGTTTACCGCTTCAAAACGTATATCTTTTTGATGAGCATTTTTAAGTCTTTCCATATCATGACGAAAACGTTGTTCTCGAGCTGAAAATCCACTTGATTCATTTATTATTGATCCAAGTTCATTACTAACATCATCCAAAAATAATTTAACAAATAATTCAATTGAAAATCTCCATCGTGCTAATAAATATTCATATGAACCAGTAAGAAAAATTGAATGTGATGTTTGTTGTCTAAAAATTTAAAAAAATCTTACTGAAAAAAACAAAAGTTTTATATAAAAAAAATCTTTTTCGATTAGATGATATTAAACCAGCACTTAAATCAAGTAAAACATCAACAGCCATACCTTAAAATACAAATGTTGTTGTTATTTTTTGAAAATTAATTTCTTTTTTTTTTTTTTTTTATTTAACTTACGATCATTATCTCGTGTTTTTGTATTTGTTTTTTCTTCATTATTATTATTATTATTATTATTAAATAAATTTAAATAATTTGGTTGTAAAAAATCTGGTATTGAATGTTCACGATGTGATAAACTAGGTTGAGATGGTAAATGTGAATATTTAGCATCTGTTTAATCATATAAAAATCTTCCAAATAAATCTTCTTTTCGACATATTGGTTGTAATAATTGTGGACGACATGCTAATGGTAATGAATCATCAATTGTTATTTGAAATGGATCTGGTCCTAATGAACTAAGACATAATGTTGATGATGAACGTTGAAAAAATGAATTATTTGATGTTATTATTTCTTCATTATTTGAATTATCATTATTTGTATTTATTGATGTATCATCAGTTATATCTCTTCAATTACTTTTTATTATTTGATTTGATTCATTTAAACCACTTTCACGAAAATAATAAATAAATGCATCAAGTAAATAAGCTAAATATTTATATGATAAAACATCAAGTGATGGTTCTAGATCGCCATATTCATCAGTTGAACGCATTAATGATAATGAAGAATTAAGAAAATCAAGACGATTATTAACTGGTTTATCTTTAAAGAACAAAAGAAAATAAAAAGATTTAAAAAGAAAAACAAATTTACCATTTATTGGTTTATTATTATTGGTTCGATTTGTTGTTGTTATTGTTGTTGTTGTCGAATTTTTCTTCATTTCAATTTGTTCATGTTCAACAAGATTTTTAAGAAAAAGATTTCCATGATATATTGTATCACTTTCATTATGAGTTAAATTACTTAACATCATACCAAAACGTAATTGAGATTTAAATCAATCCATTACTGTTGCAAACCATTGCCAAGTTGGAAAAAGACATTGTTCGATTTCATATAGAATTGTACTAAATGTATTTTGTTCATCAGTAGTTGTTGATTTTGTTATTATATCATGATATAAAGATGAAGCTGATAGTACTTTTGATCCACATATAAGTAAATCAATGATTTATCGAATTATAATTCCAAAAGTTCGTGCTAACAAAGCATTTGTTATATTAGCTGACATTATATTTGTTGGTTGTGTTTGTTGTTGTTGTTGAACAGTTATTGAATGATTTAAACTTATTGATGTTGTTGCAATAGCTGTTATTTGACGTCGAGAATGACTATCACCAAATAATGAACCTTGAAAAAATAATATAAATTAAAAAAAAAAATACACACACACACAATGGATTAATTATAGAAAATACTTACTTGCCATAGTTGTTTGAGCATTTAATCTCGGTACATTCAAATGAGTAGTTGCTGTTGTTAAATCAGCTGGTTGAGTATTTGATTTAGTTGTATTACTTGCTGATGGTAATAAAACTAGTCGATCATTAGTTACTGTATTTGAAGTTGGAGTTGGATTAGTTGTTGTTATTGATGTTGATGATGCAGTAGCAGCAGCTAATGTATGTCTAGGATGATCAAAAATCATTGGTTCAAGTTGACTTGTTCCATCACCTTCACCTAAAACACTATCACTTCGAACACTATCAGCATCATCTGATTCAAAATTTTCATCATCAGAAAATAACGCCATATTGTCACTACCAGTTGTAGCTGATGTTCGATGTGTATTTGTATTTGGTGCACTACAATTACTTTTATTATCTGTGTCTGATTCAGCAAGTAATTCTAATTCCATTTCATTTTCATTATCACTTAAACCAGCTGGATTTTCACGTGTTATTTGTTGATCATTTATATTTGAATTATTTATTGGATTAATTGTTTCATGTTGTGATAGTGCATCAGAATTATTATCATCATCTTAATAAAAAATAGATGAATATTATATGAAAAGAAAAAACAAAAAAGCAAAATCTGTTCAATGTACTATTCATTAATTGAAGCAACTTCTCTTCTATTAAGGCCTTTCCCCCTAAAAAAAAAGTCACTTTTCGTCAAAAAAATGAAAATTGAGATAAATGCATGGGAAGATAGCCCGAGTTCCGCTCTTTCAGAAACAACATAATTTTTAATTTAATGTCTCATTTTTGGCCAAAATTTTTTATGATTTCCATTGAACAATATGCGTTTGCCAGGTAAAACGGAGAATGGTTTTCGCTTTTTCTCAGTTCATACTTTCTCAAACGCGCAAGCAAGAATTCTTCGTTCAGGCTCATATAATACCTCTGACTTTTTCTTTTGTTTGAAAGAGCATGTCAAGATGCAGTGCACTATAGGGTTCTCTTTTTCAAACAAGCTTTTTTATTATATCATATAAGAAAACATATCTGTAGAAAAATACCCATTTTTAGAGTTTTTTGAGTCATTGAACTTGTGATCCCTATTTTTCGCTTAAAAGGTAAGTATTTAAAAAAAGGACCCCATGGTGCACTGCATCTTGACATGCTCTTTCAAATAAAATAAAAAAGCTTGTTAGCGCAGCCCCTTCGGGGCTAAAATGTGGAACTCACATATCTTTAGCTTCCTTATACTAATAAACTATACTATAAAAATTCTTGCTTTATACATTTGGTGGCCAAGAAACTTAAGAAAGTAGTCTAGTGCTTGTTGCGCCGTTGCTAAGAAAATGCACTTAATGACCTTTGATCCTGGTTGCTTAGGTCTGTAATGGGAGGAGGGGGTGTCTGTAATGGTGGGCTGTCTGTAATTGGGGTCTGTCTGTAAGGGCGAGCGGGGATTGGGGGGGGGGGGGGGGGGGGCAAAACTTCGACTTAAAACTTACACTCACATTTTTCATATGTGAGTTCCACAAAAAATAAATATGTTATACGAGCCTTGACAGAGAAATCTTGTTTGTCAAATATGCCATTTTTGACCCTTGTTTGATTCATATCTCTGTCAAACATCACGGTATCGGGCTGAAAATTTTACCATAGCCTCTCCACTATAGCCCCGACATATTCTGAAAATTTCATGCCATTTGAACGTATCTGAGCTGAGATCAATTTTTGAGGGGCGAGGAAGGCTTTAATTGAAATAATATCTTTTGTAATTTTCTGATCAATTATTGTACATTAAAGTACAAAATGAAAATGAAAATATAAGATTGTTTTTCTACCTTTTATTTCATTTCTATTTATCTAAAACAAAAATATTTAGTTGAACAACTTTACAATTAAATATTTCTTTGGAGATTTAATAAAATCACCAGAACCAATTGTTAGTATATTGTTATTAGAAGGATGACTAAAACATGTTTCTTCATTCCATTCAATCGCAGATGCACTTCTGACTGGTGACACCTATATTTATTTTGGGCTGAGATACGAGTTCAGATGATTCTAAGCTATTCTATATTAGAATAATGTAAGGAACAAGTGAACGATGTTATTTTCAGGTTGCAAAACACATTTCGTTAAGACGAATCATTCAAAAAGGATATTCTTTTATTAACGGAAATAGTCATATTATATTAATGGGTAACACGGTCATATTGTAGCTTATCACATGATTGATATTTAATCTCAATTTGCTGATTTTTATGTGCTGACAAATGAAGCTTCCTTACTTTTTTCTGTATCACTAAATATTTCTCTCATATTTGTCCGATATATATTTAGTATTTCATATAACAATAAACTTAGAAACATGAAATTCAGAATTACAGGAAATAGAAAATGAGAAAGGAATATATATAACTAAACTATATAACAATGGGATAGAATAAAAAAAGAAAAGTCAAGAAAAGTAGTTGGTTATGCCGTTTATAACGACTTCGTTTGTTGGAAATAACCTAAATTACATTGATTTGTTATGATGACAATATTATCAATATTTAAGTAACAAAATATTTTTTTGAAATATTCCTTCATTTTTAACAGTGTTCAGTTGAGCATCGGCAATAAGTCGATCATAAAAATCATACAAATGTCATAGCTGCACGAATACGGGTACATTATGTACTGGCATCTATTGACATATTAATATACTCCCAAAAAAATCTAGTCTTGTTCAGCTTTGAAAACTGAATCAGAAAATTGACCAAAAGTCATTATAGACCAAAACGGCCATTCGCAAAATCCGTCGAAATCCAAGTCACCAAAATCCTGCCAAAAACTCATCAACAATTTTTCCCTAGGTACTAGAATCAATATTTTCACATGATTCGATTCATAAGATGTTCCTCTTCAAAGTTATACGTGCAGTTTTTTGAAATTTTTTATTTTCGAAAAGAAAATTTGATTTTACTGAGTCCTGTGCTAAAACCGGTAAGACGTTTCTGATTTTTTTGTCAATTTCGCTCAAAAATATGCTAAGAGGATGTCAACTAGGTTAGAAGCCATGGAGAATTCAATGGGGATACTGTCAAGATCTTGAACGGATTTCTGGAGGGTCTTCGGAGGTTTTTATAGATTTAGAAGGGAGATGCAAGACACGGTTCCTATGAATAAGATTTGTCTTTTGAGACATAGTAAATGTTAGTTTAGGTAGAGAAAAATTTTGTCTTATACATAGGGTGATCAAAAAGTTCTCGGAATTCACCGCATTTTGTTCAAAGAAACGACATTTCGTCCATTTGTCTACACCATATATTAGAGGCAGTTGTCGTGATATTCTGCAGAAATTTTCATCGTTTTCACTCATTCCTAAGGTACTGTTTATTTCGAAACAATAGGTATAAAATTGGTCTTCTCGGTTATTGCCCTTGTTCATTTGCTACGGGTGCTGATTATCTAGGCTACCTTGAATCTATCACCAACACCAAGAGTGTGAAAGTTCAATCTATGCTGAGTATTTCTGTGAGTCCTCAATTTACTCTATTCACATAAAAGTAGATAGTAACGTTACCATATCTGTTGCTCAAAAAACCCAAGAGAAAACTGATAGGATGATAGACCATAACTATCCTTCGTTGTTGGCTAAATTAACTAGTAATAAATTTAGGTCTTTATCACTAATATAGGCAGTATTACTAGTCACCATAGAAACGACTACACTCAGTAATGGCTCCTACATATTCAAAAGTTGGTATATCTTTTTGTTTCTGACACTGTTACGAATTAATGTCGCTTGAAGGACGAGTTTCACCTCTGAATACAAGTTCAGATGTTAATTTTGATTCAATGTTGTGATGGCAGACATGATACTGTTAGCCACTAATAGTACCATACAAGATCTGGTTGCCACTTAAAAACCGTTTCAATTTTTTAAGGTCCAGAAAGCTGGTGAAATCCAGGAGTAAGCGAGCCGATCACATTGTTTATTTCAAACGAAACCTCAAAGGTGAGTTAGAAGGATGAAACCTCCTGTGGAATATCAAGACCACTACCTCTAATATATGATGTAGAGAAATGGACGAAATGTCGTTTCCTAGAGGAAATAGAAAGAAGTCCGAGAACTTTTCGATCACCCTATGTATATAAGCATGATGGAGAATACCAAGTATGACGTAATCGAACATACTGGGAAATAACTGAATATAGAACATATGATAACACAGTGAGAAAAAACCCAATGCGTCATGTTGGGAAGATCCAGTATATTACACATGGATATTTCCAACATTTGCAAATGTCCTAGAGCTCTACTTGAACCAAAACCTCTGAAGACCCTCCAGAAATCCACTCAAGATCTTGACAGTATCTCTGTTGAATTCTCCATGGCTTCTAACCTAGTCTGGCATGTGAAACCTCCTTCTTTTCCTCCTATTTCTTAAAACATGTTCTCCTTCTCCTCCTTTTGGCATCGGAATCCTCGTTTTCCTCCTTTTTATCAATTAAACTTGTGAATGAGTATTTTCAATATTTTAAACAAAGCGTTTTTACGATGCTACGATTCAGACGATATTTG